AAGTAGTTGAGCTCAGCTTTTTTGATTGTCCAACTTTCACACAATTAACTGCAAAAGAGATGACATGCATTCGGTACCAAATATTTATAACAATACGCCATAGTAGGCATTTATCTGTTTTGTTATGTCATCATCATCTATAGTAGTTTTGCGAAACCGTAAGCTCTAGAATCGCTTACCTCAGGGCAGGTAGATGAGCTAGAAGAGAGATAAAGGAACTAAAGCCCAGTTCTTTTGTCATTACCGCAGACTGGCTGGCCTTACGTAATTTTCCTGCTTATTATAAATCATTTTTGCCTTCGCTCAACCACTGATTTGACAAGTGACATCAAAACAGCTTCTTTACATGGAAACAGCGAAATTCAGTCTATTCATGCGAACTACTGCCATTTGCAGTCGTTAGAGAAACTTCCATCATGCAGGTGCTGCAATAAAATTCTAAGATCTAGGGGTTACAAAATTATAATAAAACCTATTATAATCTTAGAAATTTCAAGATTTATAAGTTAACATCGGGTGGCAATAAATGTTACCTCTGCGCAAAACCTTCTTTTTGGCTTTATGATCTGTTTCAAGATCAGCTGTCTTCATCCAAATCCGTACAGACTGCGGCAGATATCGAACTGCTTGAGCAATAATTGCCTAAAACTCTACTTAATTAGCCGGAACTTACAAAAATTAATTTCAAACTTTCAGTCTGCTTTCAAAAAAAAAGAAAACAGGTTAAAAAGAAAAGGGGCGTATATAGACAGGAAATGAACGCAATCGTTAGCCCTGCCATTACCTGACGGGATCTGCCTAATGCTTTAGCATATGGAAGCAACCGTGAAAGGAGGAATTTTCCGCCTTGGCTGAAATGACTGCTGCTTATGTAAATGTTAATATGCATCCCTTACTAGTAGTTTAAGTTTCTCAAGTTAAACAGGGGAAACGCATCTATGTCATTTTGCTGGGACCTGAACTGAAGCTTCCATAACGAAACAAAATTTAATTTCACTATAGCAGATGTGAACAAAACAATTCATTTCAAAACTTACAAAAAGAAACAAGACAGTTGGTACACCAATAAGGATACTCATTTCTCCTAAAGTTCAATAAGGAATGTGTTCCATAACGAGCTCACGACATGACCCTGATTTCCAATTCGATGAAATAACAGAGCCTACTTTATTTATAGAGGCAATATCTACAGCAAACCAAGCAAAACATTTTGTAAATTGCGTCTTCCTTCGAACGGCGTGGTGTTCTTTATTTAGCTCAGAAGGATGACAGGAGAGTGAATTCAAACCATGATCTTAAAACTGCCAGTTCAGAGTTTAACTGACTAAGTTTGTGAAATATGAAAGGTATGCATCGATTTAAATGTATACACCGGTATGCACCGGAATGATATGAACAAGAAAAGAAAGTTTAACGCAAATGAATTGCCCGCATCCTAAGATTTCAGTCAAGCGCGATATCTGCGACGTCCGTCTTGCAAGAATGTAATGGAAGGGCGCCGATTTTTGTTTTGATGTCAACAACCGATAGTACAGTTTTTAAGGCTATATTTATAGCTAAAAGAAAAGCACTGCGTGTAGCTTTTGCTTCTCTCCCAAGCGTAGTACTTTGGATTGAGGCCCATTTATCTATCACAAAAGGATGAAACGTAAATGAGGTGACAAAGATTCGAACCCATGACTTTTGAATCTAGAGCCGACTTTTCACTGATCTGACTACAGATTCGGTGCTTCATCGGCTGAACTACCGTAACTATATGCACTGCAACTGTTCTGGAACTGAACACTGATTGTGCAGCCTCTACTCGCGCGTTCACTGTACTGCTGTAAAACTACAGAAAATTAATTCTTCGACAGCAAAGCTTCGTAACTAGACTAAGATGAGTTCTGTAGAAAAAACCAGCCGACTTAAAAAGTCTGTACCGCGTGAGGAAGCGGCTTAAAAGAGAGCTCATATTCATCGTCGTTGTAGCAAGTAAGGATAATGACACCCATGCTGCCGTCTTAAATAAAAGCTAGGAGTCCCGTAGATGAACGCTGACGGCAGCAACGCGACAATCATAGCCAAAAGGAAGACATTTGTTTTGAAAATGTTTCACTTCCGATGTAAAATAGGTGCCGACTACTTACAAATGATTTCCATGTGAAAAAATTTCTAGGTACATCAACAGGCAATGCAAGACAAAAAACAAGACAATCACACGTCATTTCACGATATATCGAAGAAACGTCATTACCTTTCAATCCAGTATTTGCATGATACTCCAAACCTAACAACGAAAGCAATATACCTTAGAGGTATCCGGAGGATGCAAACGTGCCGCTTCCAGCCAAATATCCTCGCTTTTACTGCAAACCTCGCAACCTTGCATAATGATATTTCGAGCCACCTGAAGCTTACCCACTACCTCCTCCAATCTGGCCGATGCAATCCATGCTAAAGCAATAATATTTTGTGAATGCAAGCAGATGCATTTCTAACTATTTATCATGTATCAGTTATGACGTAAAATTTGAGTTCCAGCCTGCATAATAGAAACGGGTTACTATATACGTATACCAAATACAACAAACTCAAAAATCTTACGTGAAAGCCGAAAAATACAACTTATAGACGATGGCCACAGTCCACACACAGTGACATCGCATCTCACCACTGAAACCTGTGACGAGTAATAAATTAAGGGCATTTTG